CCAATACTCATGCCTTAAAATTGTTATATCATAGAATATGATAAAGGATCTCCCATGTCTTAAAAAAATAATGAACCTTGTGAATGATGTCTCCTTAATAAGCAACATTGATTGCCATTTTCTATTGGGAAAGTTTGGAGAGCAAAAGACTTATTAGAGCTTGTTCTTAGAGATATTTATAGACCAATGCGGATACAATCACTTTATAATAACAGGTATTTTATTCTTTTCATCAATGATTTTTCTAGAATAAGTTGGTTCTATTTCATCGAAGCAAAATCAGAAGTCTTTGGAATATTCAAGAAGTTTAAGGTCCTTTGTCAAGAAGTAAAGTGGTAAACATATAAAAGTATTAAGAAGTGATTGTGATTAGGAAGTGATTGTGGCAAAAAGTATACCTTTAAAGAGTTCAATAAATTTTGTGAGGATGAAGATATTCAGCGACAACTTACTGACTTATCGTCACATATACTCCACAACAAAATGGAATAATAGAGAGGAAAAATTGCACAGTAATGAAGATGGCTACATCAATGTTGAAGGAGAAAGAATTACCAAATACCTTCTGGGGTGAAACAGTTTAGATTGTTATTTACATACTTAATAGATGTCCAAATAAGACTGTTCAAGATAAAACCCCAATTGAATCATATGGAGTGAGCAAAAACCATCAACAAAACACCTAAAGATTTTTGGATCTATTTGATACATACACATTCCAGAAGAGAAGAGACACAAACTAGAAGATAAACCTATACGAGATATCTTCTTGGAGTATAACATACAATCGAAACGATATCAAGTCTACAACTTACAAACCAAAAAGTTCACTATTAGTTGAGATTTTAAAGTTGATAAAAGTGTTGCTTGGAATTGGAAAGATGAAAAGGTTAAAAAAAATATTTCCATACCAATGCAACAACCTCAAGAAATTGAAGAAGTCTCAGGTAAGATTTTTTCACCCCTACAATAACAAAATTTCTCACCAGAGTCTACTTCAAGACGAGTTAAATCTTTAGTGGATATATACAAAACCTAAAACCTAGCCATAACTAAAGCTAAAATCTTTGAAGTAGCATCAAAACAAGAAGTATGGGTCAAAACAATGGAAGAAAAGATAAAAATGATTGAGAAAAATAATGCATAAGAGCTAGTAGATTATCTTACAATAAAATTTCTCACCAGAGTCTACTCCAAGACGAGTTAGATCTTTAGTGGATATATACAAAACCTAAAACCTAGCCATAACTAAACCTAAAATCTTTGAAGTAGCATCAAAACAAGAAGTATGGGTTAAAGCAATGGAGAAGAGATAAAAATGATTGAGAAAAATAACACATAAGAGCTAGTAGATTGCCTTATAGTTAAAAATATCGTCAGGGTAAAATGGTTCTATAAGACCAAGCTTAATCCTCTTGGCACCATATAAAGGTACAAGGCAAAAGTGGTAGTTAAAGAATACTCAACAACTTAGAGTTGATTACAACGAGACATTTGCTCTTGTTGTCCGCTTGAATACTATAAGAACTCTAATTTCTCTTGCTGCACGAAAAAGATGGAACATTTACCAACTAGATGTAAAATTTGTCTTTCTTAATGTCATTCTTCCAGAAGAGATTTATGTGGAGTAACCACAAGGTTTTGTCAGCAAAGGTAATGAAGGCAAAATATTTAGATTGAAAAAGGCCCTATACGGATTGAAGCAAGCTCCACGAGCATGGTACAACTAAATCGACAAATACTTTATTGATTAGGGATTTGGGAGGAGTATAAGTCAGCCAACTTTATACACTAAGTTCCAAGGTCAGCATGACATACTTATAGTTTCCTTGTATGTAGATAATTTTATCTGTACAGGGAACAATGTAAAGATGATAACTAAATTCAAAGAAGATATGATAAAAATCTTCGAAATGACTGACCTTGGCTTGATGAACTACTTCCTTATAATAGGTGATAAATTCACATTTTACCATAATTTTTAGTATAATTTTGTCAATAAATAAGTAGTAAAGTGCTAAGTAAACTTGAAAATATAATAAAAATTGCATTAATATTCATAATTGTGTAAATAGTTTGATTGTTAGATTTTTAGTCCAATTCTGAATAATTTGACTTAAAAATGACTTAATCCTTGTGCAGAAGCTTGAGCTGAGAATTTGAGTTAAAGATTAAAGTGAAGAAAGTAGAAAAATTGAACTTAAAAGATGAAGAATCAAGTGTTATGTGTTGGGCGTAGCCACTTTGAGTGCATAGAATGAACACTTCGAAGAAGAAAATTCATGAAGATCAAAAGAGTAGCTACTTCAAGTGTTCAGAGTAGCTACGCAATAGTGCGCGTAGCAACTTCAAGTGTCCAGAGTAGCTACGCAGTGCGCGTAGCCACTTCAAGCTTTTAAAGTAACAGCGCCCAATGCTAATTCAAAACTGTGCAGTGTGCATAGCTACTTCAAGTGATCAGAGTAGCTACACAATTGAGCACATAGCTACTTCAAGTACCCAGAGTAGCTACGCAGTCAGCGTGTAGCCACTTCAAATGCTTAGAGTAGCTACGCAAAAATAACAGAATTTTAAATATCACTTCTAAGTGTCAACTTTGGACGATTGGAGTTCTTAAATCATTTTTAGAAGCTTCTAGAAGACCTTTGATGATAGAATTCTCAGAGATTAACATGTAGAAAGGAAAAAGGCGAAAAAAATCATATAAATAGAAGTTAGAGGTTCAGAAAAAGGGACTTTTGGTTCATTTTTGTTAGTTTTCACTTTGTAACTGTTTTAACTTCCAAGAGAAGTCAGAGAGAGGGATGGGGAGCGACTTTTAAGCTTCAGTTCTAGAGGAGTGAATATTGGGTCTTGAAAGATGTTCTTCTGCTTCTTGTCTTCTTCTTCTCTTACTTCTCCTTTGTCCATTGTAATGTTGTTCTAAACCTTTTTGGTTAGGGATCTATGGATCCAGATTTGATATTGTGATGTAATTGTGGATTGAATCTTGAGATTTTAATTGAATTGAGTATGTGATTCTGTTCTTAATGCATTTGTGAACTAATCTTTCATTCAATTGAATTTAGAGGAGTTTTCATCAATGGAAATTGAGTTTATTTCTCAGATTTGAATCATATGCCTAGGTTATTGAGATCTTAGGAATAAGTATCATAATCTAGTGATCCTATAATTTCTAGAACTTAATGTAATATTTGATTGAATTTCACCTAAGGAATTAGGGAGGTTTAATTAGGTATTAGGATCAATGAGGTAAGGAATTGTCCTTTGGTTAAAGAAGTGAAATTGATTATCAATCAATTAGAATTCTCAAGAGTTCAGAACATGATTACATTGTAATTGAAAATCTGGTGAAGTGATTCCTAACTATTTTTCACATAGTATTCTTAATAAAAATTTCGTATTCTATTTTTACATCAATTCTATTATCTTTTATTGTTCTTATTTCTTAATTTTACATGTTATAAACCTCTCAATGAATTGTTTTGTTCAACTAATTGATGAATTGTGAAGTAGTAATTGAAATAAGATCATTGTGGACGATACTTGAGGCTCATATTGAATTTCAAATTTTATTACTTGCTACAACTATCTAGTACATTTGCTAGTTAGTATTTTTATCAAAATCAAAAGTAACAATAGGAGTAAAATAAAAGAAAGAAGAAATATTTATCTCAGAAAAGAAATACGTTGAAGTACTACTCAAGAAATTCAAGATGAATGGATGTAAGATTGTTAACACTCCATTAGTGGTACATGAAAAATTGCAGAGAAATGATGGAACATCAGAAGCTGATGTATCACACTATAGAAATTTGATTGGAAGCTTACTATATCTCATAGCCACATGACTAGACATAATGTATGTTATAAGTCTTCTTTCAAGATTCATGCAAAGTTCAAGTCAAATTCACTTTGGAATAACAGAAAGAATTCTAAAATATCTACAAGGCACAAAGGAGTATGGTATATGGCACCAAACTATGAGCAACTCAAAGCTACTTGACTACACTAACAATGACTAGGCAGGATCGATCGATGACATGAAGAACATGTGTGGTTATACTTTTTCACTAAGATCAAGAACAATCTCTTGGGCTTCAAAGAAGCAAATAACAATTGCATAATCAACAGCAGAAACAAAATATGAACAGTTGTTGAGACTACAAGTCAAGCAATATGGTTATGAAGAATACTTGAAGATATGGGAGAAAAACAAAACGAGCCTATTATAATCTACTGGGACAACAAATCAGCTATAGCAATGATAAAGAATCTGGTGTATTATAGTAGAACAAAACACATAGCAATTAAATATCACTTCATCAGGAAGCAATAGGAACTAAAGAAATCAAGCTTGAGTACTGTATAACTGAAGATAAAGTTGCAAAGATTTTCACTAAAGTACTACTAAGACCAAAATTTAAACAGCTACACATGATGCTTGGAGTTATAAGAAATTGCATCAAAGAAGAGTATTAGAAAATGATAAAAAAATTTAGAATAGTCTAAAAAATTATTAGGAACAATTTATGAAAAACCGTTTCTATCTTTTAGTTTGTAGATACTTCTAAAGAGAGTTATAGAATATTGTAAATATTATAATATTTAACCACCCAAATACAACCGTGAAAGATGCTTATAAATAGGCATGCTATCACATTGTAAAGGTTATGAAGAAGTAATTAAGCTACCAATTCTCTATTTCTTGAATGTCTTAGTTAAACTTCTTTAACTATTATTTTCAACTATTCCAACTAACATATTTTAACTATTTTGCTCATCTCACCTACACTAAAAACCATAAAAATTTGATATCTTTTATAAATTAAATAAATTAAACGTGCAAAGATAGATATTGTGTGGTCTAAAAAATAAAGAAAGAAAAAAATAATAATAAATTATATTCAGGTTTTGAAATGTCGGTGACCGTTGGAAAGGTAATGTTTAGTTTCAGCTAAGGATATGGTACGTGTGGATGAGATTGGTACATCATTCATTTCGTTATATAGATTTGTGCTCCTTGATTTTACAAATTTGCATTCCTCTCTTTCAATATCAATATCAATCCCTTTTTCATAATTTTCTTTCACTTATGGCTAAGTTTGAGTCAGTTTCATTTGCTGTTGCTTCAAATCTCATACACAGGTTGGCTTCCGCAGATTTTCGTGAATTTGGACAAGAGTATCGTGTGACGGAAATTTTAGAAGAGCTTAAGAACTCTGTTGAATCCATCAATGATAAGCTCCTTGATGCCGATGTTAAACAAGATCAAGATGGTGGTGTGCGAGTTTGGATCAGAAAGTTCAAAAAAGTACTTCATGCTGCAGATGACTTCTTAGATGGCCTTGCTCTCGAATTTATGCGACACAAATTGGATACAGGATATGGAACAGAAGTAAACAAGGCACCTTATTCCTATTCATTCTCAAATCGAACTGATTCTCCCATTCAAATGAGAATAGAAATTGAAGAAATACTAGCAAGTTTTAATGATGTAGTACAAGAAATGCATAAATTGAATTTAAGCTCAGGGGTGGTTAGGCAGACTAATAGTGAATGGAGGGAAACATGTTCCACGTTAGAACAATATATCATTGGAAGAGATGAGAGTAAGAAGGAGATTATTAGTCTGTTGGAACAACCGAAGCAAACGGTTTCTGTGATTGCTATTGTTGGCATTGGTGGTTTAGGGAAGACAGCGCTGGCTCAGTTGGTGTATAAGGACTTGGAGGGTTCTTTTGACAAGCAAATATGGGTGTGTGTCTCTGATAACTTTGATGTGAAAACTATTCTGATGAAAATATTAGATTCAATAAATACTGATAGCCAAACACAAGACCAATCATCAGAGAAGTTGCAAAAACAGCTTCATAAGAATTTAAGCGGTAAGAAATATTTGTTGGTCCTGGATGACATTTGGAATGAGAGTTATAACAAATGGGCTGGATTGAGAAAGTATTTGCTGTGTGGCGCTCAAGATAGCAAGATTTTAGTGACAACTCGAAGTGAAAATGTAGCAAAGGTAATGGCTGCTAGCACTTCCTATCCTTTGAAAGGTTTGACTGATGAAGAATCTTGGACGTTGTTGAAGAACATTGCATTTGAGGATGAGTCCCAAGGAGTGAATCAAAATCTAGAATCAATGGGGAAAGAAATAGCAAAAAAATGTAAAGGGGTTCCACTAGCAGTTAAAACGATGGGAGGCCTGTTACGAAGACAAAATGAAGAGAGTGAATGGGAAGAAGTTTTACACGGTGACTTCTGGGAATTATGTGAACAAGAAGATATCATGCCAATTCTAAAACTCAGCTACAGAAAATTGTTGCCAGAAATGAAACAATGTTTTGCTTATTGCTCTTTATATCCCAAAGATTCAGAGATTTTAAAGGATGAGTTGATTCAGTTATGGATGGCCCAAGGTTACCTTGAATGTTCAACTAAAAAGCAGCAGATGGAAGTTGTCGGCAACCAATTTATAAAGATTTTTTTGGCGAACTCATTTTTTCAAGATGCAAAAAGTAATGAATATGGTGAGATCATTAGTTTCAAAATGCACGATTTAATGCATGATCTTGCAATGCTAGTAGCTGGCAATGAATGTTGTTACTTGGGTAATGAGGCAGAAGAAGTTAAGGGTAGTCCCATGCACGTGATACTGGAATCCGGTGCCATTCGTTTATTGAGAAAATTAGATCCGAGCAGGCTGCGAACTTTGATGTTGTGGGGTTACAATGAGCAAGAATTTTCTCTGTTATTGCAGACTTCAAATGCCTACGTGTCTTGAAGATGTCGCATTTCTACTTTTGCAAGTTGTCCGATCGTATCGAAGAGTTGAAGCATTTAAGGTATCTTGATTTGATTTTTAGTTTATACACCGACAGTAGAAGACCAATAAGTTTCCCCAAATCTCTCAGCAATCTTATTCTCTTACAAACATTAATAGTGGGGGAGTACGACGAAGAATCGTTCTTGGAAGTAGTCATAAAATTGGTCAATTTGAGATGCCTTGATAAGGGTGATGTTTTTAAAGGGACGGCTGTTGGATTGGGAACATTGTCCTCGTTGCAATTCTTACCCACCTTTGTCGTGGGAGATAGCCAAAAAAGAAGATATGGCACACTAAATGAATTGAAGGACTTGAACCTACAAGGAAAATTAGAAATTCTTCAACTCAATCGTGTCACAGACGTGGCTTTAGAATCACAGGATGTAAATTTAAAAGAAAAAAGGTTCCTTCAATCCTTGACTCTGGATTGGTACTTCGACTATACGGACATCCGTAACAGTGACAGCTTACAATTATTAGAAAACCTTCAGCCCCACCATAATCTTAAGCAATTGGAGGTGCGCTATTATCCAGGCAAGCGTTTCCCAGATTGGCTTTCTCTCCTCACAAATGTTGTTCACATCACTCTCTTTGAGCTTCGTAATTGCAGCTGTCTACCACCGTTGGAACGTCTCCGGTCCCTGAAGTCACTTGTTATAAACTGTCTTCGTAAATTGGAATACATATATCTTGAAGATGGTTTTGCAGTAACCTTCTTTCCCTCTTTGGAGGAACTCATCCTCCTAGCTTGTCCTGTGCTTAGGGGATGGCGGAGGCGGGGAGATGATATCAATGATTCTAAGAATTCCCATAATCACTCCTTGTCTCTTTCCTTTCCTCCTCTTTCTAAGCTAAGAATCCTTCTCTGTCCAAAGTTGATTTGCATGCCTACTTTTCCAAACGTTAAGGATCTGGATTTGGCCGGGTCCAGTGTGAAGCCATTAATAGCAACCCTGAACACAGCGGCGTCAACATGCTCAGTTGACTCATCTTCCTTTGTTGCTCCTCTTTGCATGCTCAAGCAATTTCACATTTCCGATTCTCTGAATTTACAAAAGGGTTGGATGCAAAATCTGACTTCTCTCGAGTCTCTTAGAATTGTATGGTGTCAAAGTGAAACACTAGAGGGATTTGAAACTGGGTTACCGGACGACATCAACTGCCTTCCTTCTCTGCGGCAAATCACAATAGAATCGTCTACAAATCTAAAGGCTCTGCCAGATTGGATTTTCAACCTCTCATCGCTTCAGCATCTCATAATCCATCATTACCTAAATCTAGCTTCTCTACCTGAAGGAATGACTCGTCTTACCAACTTAAAGATCTTACAGGTGAGCCATTGTCCCCTCTTAATTGAAGAATGCAGATCAGAGACAAGTGCTGTTAGTCGCCGAATCGCACACATCCCAGAAATTATTCTTCGGAATTTCTGATCATAAAGGTACTAATGCCCTTTTCTGTTAACTAATAACATTTTTGGTTTCTGTTTAATTTTTAGAAACAAATGGGTTCAAATATTTACAATATGAAAAACAGCTTTTGTTTCTGTTTTCCTGTAAATCTTGTGAAACTCTATTAATTATTGAGCTTATTTTCTTTACTAATAAAATTCTTCTAATATTTACTGTCTATATGTTTTAAAGTTGGATGGAAAATATTCTAATAGTTCTAATAAAATTAATTCTCAAATTTTAAACAATACTGCAGTGTGTGTTCAAATAGATATTAACAATATATTTTATACTTGTAAATTTTCTGGGCATTGCATTGGTATTATTAAAATAATAAATTTTTAAATATTTTATAATTAAATAAAATTTATAAATCTTAAAAGATAAATATTTAATTATGAATACTAAATATTCTATTATATTTGTCAGGCTAGTGATTTATTATTGAGTAATTTATAATATTTTATACTTGTTCAATGTTAATTGAAGAATTAATTGGTATTGGAATAGATTTAGATAAAGTTTGAAAATTTAAAAAAAAAAAAAAGTGAACAGTACCGTATGAATAATGTCAATGAACAGTAAAACCGACTGTGAACAGTAACACCGCGTACAAACCGCGTTTGAACAGTGACTGCTGACGTCATCAGTGACATCATCATGACGTAAAACGTACAGTGCGTGTACAGTACGCGTGCACAGTGTTTTCGGCATGAATAGTGCCCTAAATAGTGTTTCTGGCGTAAACAGTAAAGCGGTGAACAGTGTTTCTGGCGATGAACAGTAAATTCCGGTGGTGAACAATAAATTTCAAAAATTTTCTATAATAAGGGGGCTTCATACGAATTTTTATTTTTTCACCCCTATCCAAGGTTCTCAAAGGTTCTAAGGCCAAATAATACCATTTCTCTCATACTAAACCTTCCTAAACTTAGATTTCTCGCTAGATCTGAGATTCTATGTCTATTCTGAAGGATTTGAAGTAAGTTTCTTTAAGTTTGAAGCTAGATTTACCGTTTATTTCTCTTCTCCTTCTCTTTCTCATAGAAGTTCATGGTATTCTTAGGAGAAATTCCGTTATAAAGCTGAATCTTCGGTGAATCTTGCATTAAAACAAGTAATATTCGGTAGATCTAGTGTGAATCATCGTTCTGAGATAAGGAGAGTTTACTTTAACCTATAATCTATGTTTTGAACAGTTTAATATGCTATTTCAAGATGTTTTGATATGATTTTGTTAAATTTATTGAATAAAAGCTATTTTCTATTGATTTTAAATGTTGAAATTTTGGCTGATCTGTTATAAACTTGCCTTAGCTGAGCTGTTAAAATAATTTTGGCGGTGTGCATCATGCTGAGATATATGTTTTGCATTATTATATAGCCGAGTTACATGTTTAGGTGGGTAGACGTGTAACGGTAAGTTCATGCTGAGCTGCTGTGCTGTGCTGTCTGGATCCAGATACCGGAATAGGTCGCTCCCGGACCGGCTCGGTTCCTTCTGGATTACTTAGGCTGTGAAACCAGTTAGAAACCGTTTTAATACGGTGTATTAGATGGACTGAAAATGTATGGGGTTATTGCTGTGAGAAATTTTTTGCTATATATATATGATTTTATTTTATGTTTAGTAAGTTCACCCTTGCATTTCTTTCTATGTTGTTATGTGTGTGTACTGCGATGATCGTACGGTGGTACGTGAGCAGATATAACAAGTGTTGCATCTACTTCACAGGCTGAGGGGCCAGTGAAGAAATGTTAGAAGCTGGAGATGAGTAATAATGCATCAAAGTCCTTTTTCCCTATATTTGAGACCTCATATAGAGGGAGTTACGTAGTATAATTTTGGTATTTTGAACATTGTGTACTAAATGTAATATTATGTTGTTCTGTTAGATATTTGTTGTAAGAAACTTTGTTTTATTTTGAATGAGAAAAGAATTTCATACTTATATTCTCTATTATTTATTTATCTTAAATAAGTGTGTGATGTAGAAATAATGTTCTCGGTTCCTTATAAAAAGGGGTCGTGACAATATTAAATAAAACTAAATTGATGAGAGATTTTTAAAATTAAAAACTAATTATAAAAAATATAAATTTTAATTTATGATTGAATTAAAATAATTAAATGTTCAATGCATTAAAAAGTCACTTGGCTTCGTAAGGAAGTAGGACTTGAATTATATAGAGAAAAATATTGGAATGTGTAAGCATGTAGGGAATTGATTATTGATGTAAAACAAATATGCACTCGTTTGTGTTCCTTCTGCTTTATAAATGCAAATTATAAATAAAAGTTTTGTATAATTTCAATTTGTATTGTTTACTTTTCTCAACTTATTTAGACTATACTTCCTCATTCTCAATTTTGAATTGAAGATAATTTTTAACAACATTACTTGATACTCACTTTGAGTTTGTTCTCAAGTTTTTATTTTTAATCATTTGTATCGGATAGAGCATCGTTCGGTCATCTCTACAAAACAGAGAACCGAACACCCTTTCGGTCATACTTCTAGACGGATGGTACTAATATTCTTTCGGCCCTATTTATGGACGAGGGATACTAACATTCCTTCGGCTCTACCTCTAAACGAGGGGTACCGGCATCCCTTCGATCATATCAAAATAAATTAACAAGTTAATTAAAGTAAATAATTAATAAAAAAAGGTTAATTGTTCAAGATTAATCCAGAACTGACTCATCAGTTCGATTAGCCCAATGATTATGCCTATAAAAGAAAATCAGAAAGACAGGTAAAATGATTAACTTTAGAATATTTAATAACATTTATTATTTTATACCGAATACTTATTTGATTATCAGATTACCATTGTATATATTCTCTCATATGGACAATAAGAATTTGAAATATTTTTTGGGGAGTGGATCCTTTGCAGGAATAATATTATTTAGCTTTTGAAAAAAAAAAAAAGTGTTTTAGCTTGGGAAGGCTCATTGAACACTGTCTAAAATTGTTGAATTTCCATAATGTTTGGCATTGCTTACTCAGGTAAAACCTAAAGACTGACGCCTTTATTTGGCAAGATGACACTTTGAAAGAAAGACGGGATAGAGTGGTTACTAATATGTTTCGGAGGGATAACTTTCCTTGTAGCTCTTTTATTAACACAGCATTCTTAAATATGACCACACTGCTCTCCAGTTATAAAATAAACCTCTAAATCAGTTTAAGAGTTTTTGTTCTAATTTTAAGTTTTTGCCCCTTGACTATGTCATACTAACTTTCCTAAACAACTTAAGAATTCTTGGACTGAAAATTGCTCTTAGACTGAAAACATCAATAAATTTAGGGAGAATTTTTCTGACTGGAACAAATATATTTTTTGATAGTATTTTTAATTGTAAGCTACATATTTTTAATAGAATTAATGAGATTATTTGTAAACTTTCTAGTAGGGATAATATGTACCTCTCTAAGCTTATGGCTAATCTTTGGTTAGAATATGAACAAATCCTTGACCAAGAAGAGGTGTGTTGGTTTCATCATTGTAGGTCTAATTGGCTTAGACTAAGTGATAGAAAAATATAGTTATTTCCACAAGGCTGCTGTTTGTAGGAGACAACCTAATAAAATTGAGGCTCTTAAATCTAGTGATAGTAGGTGGGAATATATGATCCTGTTATTATTAAACAAATGATAGTAAATTTCATCAAAAACAGAGATGGAATCTATTTCTGGCCCTATTAGTCTAACTAGTTTAAATTCTTTTCCCCTATTGAGGGATGTTGATAGGGGCAGATTTATTAGTTTTATGTCTCCTGAAGAAGTGAAAGCTGCCTTATTTGACGAAATTGAGTTAGAGATTTATCAACTCTCCAATGATTTGTGGTCGCAAACTCTTGTAGTAAATATAGGTTCCAGATTGGAAAACCTTTAACAGTGGGTAAAAAAAAGTTAATACTTAAGAGAGCTATAGCTTAAATCTAGCCTAGGTTTTATAGCTGCTTGGATTGGAAAATTAGGGATGAGATGTCTACTAAATTTTGGGTTGATAGTTGGGTTCCTAGGTTTGGGAATCTGAGCATCCATGTCCCCGTGCTAATTTAGCCAGTGATCTTCTAGCCAGCTTGTTTGTATCTTGTGAGAGGTGGGATAAGGATAAATTTATGCCTTCTCTGCCTTCACATTTTGTGATCGTATAGCCACTATTACCATGCCCAAAAATGGGGACGTAAGTGATGTTCTTGTATGGTCTTTAACTATGAATGGTGAGTTTTCTATTAAATCTACCTATTCTATGCTCTATATGGATCAACACCCTGCTGGTCAGGCGGCTCATTGCTATAAGTCAGTCTTGAAATGGTCTGGTTCTCTGAAAATGAAACTGTTTTTATGAAAAGTTGCTCTTGAGAAATTATTAACAAATGAAGAGAAAGCCCATAGAGGTATATCTGTCTCAAGCTTGTTCCCTAAGTGCTTAGCTGCACTTGAATCTATCATGCATGTGTTAAGGGACTGCTTTTATGCATTTGCTGTTTGGGATCATCTAATTTCTGAAGAAAATTGGTGTAAATTTTTCAATTTTGGTCTTAGTAATTGGTTTAGGTTTAATCTGGTTCATAATATAGCTAATAATCATAATAATTGGAATTTTATATTTGGAATAACAGTTTGAAAAATCTGGTCTGACAAAAATTCTTTTATTTTTAGCCAAAAATCTGTTTCTCCTTCTATACTTGTATCTCGTATTCTATCATATGCCTCTTACTTCGTTTCTTTTGTCAGAGGTTCGGGTTCTAGCCTGCCAAATAGGCTGCTGGAGTTTGTGTCTATTAAATGGATTTCTCCTGCTTTGGACAAGTCGAAGTTAAAAATGGATGGCTCTGTGTTCGCTGGGACGGGTACAACAGGCGATGAGTGAATGGTTATTTTGTAGCTGGCTTTATGTGTAAAGGGGGACATTGCTCTCCCTTGGATGTGGAATTGTGGGCCATCCTTTTTGGTTTACAAGTAATTACGGCTAGGGCCTTTCGAAATGTTAGTTTAGAAATTGATGCTAGGGATGCTATCCACATAATTTTAGATGCCCAGGATTATAATGGTTGTTTTCCTTATCTGGTTGTTATTATTAGATTGTTATTACCGGAAATGGGTTTTTGTCCATTGTAATAATGTATTTCATGAAGATAACCCTTGTGCTGACATGTTAGCTCACAAGGAGTCTCTTAATTGTAATATTCTGGATAATGACCCTCCTTCCTTAGTTTCTTATCTTAGGCAGGATGTTTTGGGAGTTGTCTTTCCTAGGCTTTTTAATAAGTTTTGTTGTTCTTGGGCAGTGTGATTGACAAACTTTGTTATGCTTGACATATTGCTAATTTAATAAGTAGTATAATCATCATCTATATCTCTGATTAAGATTTCATAAATTATCAACACTCTTATGATTTATGAATATCACATCAGTAAACATGACTTTTATGTTCTAATAATTTCTTTGATATTACATCTTAGGGCTTAATGACTCGTGCTGAAGGAATATATTGCCTGATATGTATTTGGAAAATTTTCTTAATTATACTTAAGTTCCTGATATTCCACTAAGGTAGCTGTGTTGGATACTCACAATTTTGAAAGTTTGCTACTTAATCTCCATAAAAGGAAAGTGTGAAAGTAACAACTTCTCAACCTCCCTTTGTTAATGCTGCTTTGAAGGAGTAGGTTCTTCTTATATTTCTACCCTTTTCTCAAACATTAAAACTTCAACATTTCTCATTTATTTTCCTTGTTTACTATTATTCCTTCCAGCTATAACGACAGAAAATGTTGGTAGCGTTATTTCAAGAGTTACTGCATCCCTGAGAATTTCAAGAGTGCAGTGCATGATTGAGCTCCACCAACAACAACTATATGATCCGCCTCCGCCTCTGCTTAACTTTTTCAACTTGTTCAGAGCCAATGCCATTCCCAAAACTGACATGCCTCCCCCTCATCATCAACTCAACTAAATGCCCTCTAATGGGCCTCACTTGCCCGCTCGACACGCAAATATATTTGTGGGTGTGTATATATATCATGTGATGATTACATAGATGACAAGTTTCTTTAAAATGTCTGTGAAGAGTAAGATTATGAGAATAAAGGTGGGGTATTACATTTATAGAGGAGAGGTAGACCTTGCAGGTCATGGAAACAAGAGTGAGGAACATAGAGGAGTTCTTATTTTTCAACACACAAGAGTTTTGTTTATTTCAAATACTCTTTTTCAGAAAAATAAATAAATAAACTGTTTTGTTTTTGTTTTTTTGTCTCCATTCATACAAAAAAGCCCAGATTGGTAGTTCAACAATACAAAATAAAGAATAGCTGGTACGCACCATCAACTTAGCAAACACAAAGAAAGATGAATTAGTTCTATTGGAAGCATGTTCTTACAAATTCATACATACTTCTGTTAGTATAAAATACAATCATAAAAAGTATGGATAAGGGAAGTAGCCGAATATTATGAAGGAGAAAAAGTGATCTGCTTTATTTCTATTACTATTTTATTCTGAACTTACTAGAAAATTTTCAGGTAAAATAGCTTTATTTCCTTTAAAATTCCTTTATAAAGTCACGTTCAAATGCAGATTATCAAGTTGGTTGCAATATGTGCTTCCGTTTAATTCTTATCAATCTTTGATATAATACGCTCTCACTTTTTGGCTGAGAACTTTTCTTACAACCTTAACCTTATCATTCATATATATATATATATATATATAAAGTAGTGTAATTTTTTTTTTTCATTTTGTTTGCTGTCATCTAACAAATGCATCTTCAGGTTAGTTTGCAATTACGGAATAGATGGAAAGATTGCAATCGCTTCAATGAAATCTCATTGTTCGCTGTTCCACAGGTAATGTTATTTTAATTAGCATTTGACATCTAACATTTGTATACTTAATATTTTTCAAAATTACTAAACACTTAATTAGCCACGTGTGCACATTCTAGCTTCTTGAATTCCGAGTCCCTACCTTGTATGTTATGGCTTGGTTGTCATTGTTGCTGTTGTAGCTCCTAATAATGCTTTCCTGAATTGAGAATATTTGATATTACAATAGAAACAATCCTGTTTCTTTTTTCCCCATTTTTGATATAAGATTTTGGTGACTTGTATATGAGCGCTACTTTTATGTTTTTGGCGATTGAGAATTGGCAGCAGTTTCTCAATATACTGTATTTCATTTTAATGGCTTGACTTTGCAGCTGCAGGGATCGTGCTTGAGCATACAGTAGAATGTCTAGTGTTACTCTTATGGACTGCATCCATTGTCCCTCTGAGATGGAATTGTGGGCCAGAACCAAACAATGGAGAGCCTATGAAAGTTGATATAAATGCTTTTGAGTTGCAACTCTGTATATTTATTCACGTTGAGTTGCAAGCTAACAAGTACTGTTGTTACCCTGTAAACAACTGTGTGTAGACATTAATTTTATTGGCTTTGTTTTTGTTAAATGATCGTAGCAAATACCATGAAACATGAATCAGAACCATAAAAATAATATAAGGAGAAGAGTAGAAAAGGAAGAATAGAACTATTTTTGTTTTTGCTGTATAATCATATTATTATGCTTACATGCATTGATATTTAAGTGCAAATACATAAAAAATAATAGCTCATCATAATACCTATATATGCTGTCCGTAAAAGGCCATGCACCCACTAACATTAGAAGTGCAAATTCGCCTAAAATACAAGCAAACTAATATCACTAATTATGACATTGTTTGCTGACACAAGGAAACATACTGCAATAATTATAATTAAAACAGTAAATAGTAACTATGAAAAGTTTTACGGCTCATTAAATTTAACAGTTTTCTCTTAATGAAGTCTTTTTAGGACAAACTAAATCCTTTTAAATATAGGTTGGAAAAGTCAAAATTTATTTCTTGTTGTCTTAGTAATGGAAACCAAGATATTACTGTATTAATCAATAGAAAATTGTAGCATAATTATGCCAAAGTAGTCAATTCCCTATTCACATTCTTTTCATCTCCTTCTTTTGAGAGATTTTTCTAGTTTGCATTCTTCCTTTATGTCTATAGAATTATTTGTAATTATTTCAATTATTTATTTTATGATGAGTAACTAAATTCATAGTTAGGATTATGGTGAACCTTTATATAACTTTATGTGATTTATATATTTAATAATAATTTCAATTTTTATCTGTGATTGGTTTTATTCTATTGCATATAAATGTAAGTTAGAAATTGACCATTCTTATCATCTTATAAATAATTACATATTAGACAGTTATACCACATGTAGTTAGTAGACTTATAGGATAAAATGAGATAAAGAATTAAGTGAATCCAACTTCATTTTTCTTTTTCAATTGGTATTAAATTAACAAACCTATGGGTATTTCACGTTTTCTCTTTTTACTTTGCATGACCATTGAGATTAATAGTTTAGGAAAAAGACGGTTAATATTGCATGATTATTGAAAGTTGTACGAGTGATTGACAATTATAGCAAAATTGAAATTACAATTAGGTTGAAAGTAAATATAACGAATGGGGAAGTGGGGAACTTATATGCCCCATGTTCCTTTCCAATAGTCTAATCGAAAGTGTGTTGCTTTATTGTTTTGAATTAATTATTTTACTCTTAGTTTAATTATTATGCATCCTTTAACACCAAATTATACAAATTATTTATCTATTTCAATAAACTTTTGGAGATTTATTCAACTACACTTATCTAAAATTAAAAATATAAATCGTTCAAAGGTGATATGACGTCAACACTAGCAGAGAATGGACACTCTCCAACTTTTAACATAAGCTAATTTTTGACTAATAAGAAAATGCAGGAGTTAAATACTAATTAATATGAGATTATCACCTTTAATATATTATTATTACACAATCAAATGATATAAAAGAATCAGACCAAAATACACTTGATTTCTACAAAAACGATAGCATAAAATGAGTAAGAAATACAAAATAAAAAAAAAATAGGCAAAACGTTAGAATTTTGGAAAAAAAAAATTAATCCAAACCCCTTACGAGTGTTTGGTTATATAGATCTTAGACATATAATTTGTACAAATTAGAATTCTGTGCAAAATGTATGCTCCTTCAAAGTTTAAGACTAAAAAGTCAAAATTTTGAGCATGCCTCGTGCTAAACTAAGTGTAACGTCCTAAATTTTTAAATTTTGAAAGCTACTTATTCTATTTATACAAACTTGGCATAATGTATAAAATTTTTGTATATGGAAAATATTGTAAGTATAAATGGATAAAATATCTATTTATGAATAAGGTTATTTACAAATTCTGCCAATCTGAGAAATATTAAGTAAATAGCAGTAAACATAAGTCATAATTATCCAAAATAAATTTTTAAAAACATTGATACAAGACTTGCATTTATACATATTTCATACAATAATTTACATATTGTTTGTCAAAACAGGTGGGACTCAAATAATATTTACATGACCAAAATATTTAAATCAGAAAAAGCAATTCAAGTCCTAAAGCAGCCCCCAAAATACATTCCAACACTGAGAACTCTACATTATTCATCACCATGTCAGCTCTCGATCTCTACTAGGTCTTCAGAATCAAGATCATTGTCTAATCCAAGATAATGGTCACCTGAATCAGCCGTGACCTTCGTGCCAGTAACAGGCTCAAAAGTCCATCTAGACAGTCTTCCAAGATGATCATGATCGTGGTACGTAAATAGATATGTGAAGGTTGCTGGAGTTCTAACAATACCTCTATAGATATGGATACATAGGGTATGGTGTATTCTACCCATAGGAAAATCAAAAGGAATACTATAAGAGAAATCCATTTCTAACATGATAAAGGTCCTAGGTACATCTTCAACAAGGACAACAAACTTAAAATAACATGTCCTCTGATACTCGTTAAACACATAATTAAGCCTACTATGTACAAAACTATTTATTAGTCTAATTCTTTCCTAATACTCCGTCATCCTTGTTCCTTGAAAATGTTAGTAAGGATGAGCTTCTATTTTATCATTTAAACATAACTCTATTTTAAAGATCAACATCACAACACAATCATAGTCATGGTAAACAAGGAATCATAAGAACATAAATCTCAAGCAATATATATCACATATTTATATATTCCATCACAAATCATTATATTCCTTTCTTTCAAATACGCACTCCCAATGCACTGTGATTACAATTATACGATGCCTCCAGCAGTTCTTGAGGTCTTACACAACTAGGTAAATAGTCGCCGGTTAACCCATGCATACGGATACAACGTATACAATAACAGGTGCCTTCATAAAGGTATAGTCAATAGTCTAGTCACAAAACAAGTGCGAGGCCATGTGGCGCATTCGCTCTCAGAAA